GCTATACCTCAGTTGCCTTGATGGAGTCTGACAGGAGTGACAAATGTTAAGCACAGATTATTGAGTTGGCTAAGTATGAATCACATGCAAGGGCAGATTCATCATAGCCTTCATCTTGGGTTTGTGTGTATGCAAGCTACAGATAAACATACATTCTCTCTACATATTCATTTGTATATGGTATTTTGTAAAAATGACTTCAAATCTTTTGCTTTATATAAATGTAATGTTATTGTTGTAAATATTAGTAAGTATTTACTTTTACTTTTAGTGGCAGACTTCATTAGGCAGCCATTAACAAAGGTTTTAGAAAGAATCAAACAATCCAATAACATTAATTCAAATGATGTGTGGTAGCTAAAATTTGCAGTGCCTTTAGAGGCTGTGAACTTGCACTCACAGCTACAGTTGAAATTACAGAACATTTCATACAATTGCTGTGCTCTGGCTGCTCAAGGGCTTTTGTCAGTGAGCAAAGAACTATTGAAACAGTCCAGAATAGTTCTTTAATCCACTTGTAGTAACACAATGGACAATTGTCTGAAACATCTTCTAAACATTTTGATCAGTGAAAACATTGACCAGATTTGCATGTTCCTATGTAAATGCTAGCAAATAAAAACTGATGAGTAGACTATAAAAAAGGAAAAAAAAGATAATAAAAAAGAAAGACGGTTGGAAATCATTGACAATTTCAATTGCCTGGACAACTGCATGACCGTATAGTCCAAGATGGAAGAATGGTAACAATAGATTAAAGCAATATGAAACATTTTAAAACTCCCAGAAGTTCCAAACCAGTTTCTTTCGAAAAGTAAGTATCAAAGCAGTTGTAGCTCTATGTGGCCTGTCAGTCACGTAGTGGTAGTTCACAAAGAGGTCAAAATGTTTGCAGAGGTTGTTGTACTAGGAAGCAGAGCAGGTAGTTGTTTTTCAGCTTTAATAATCCTGAATTCATCACTACAGGAGTGTAATCTATTGCAGTTACAAGGTATTGGCACAAACACCTGTTACTTTGTTAGGGTCTCCAACTGATTAGGGCTGGAGGAAAGGGCTTTTAGAAACTTTAAATCTTGTTTGACAGAATCTGTAATAATGAAATTTATCCCATTCTTCAACACAGCAAAACAGTACAAAGTCATCTTACTATTAAAAATAGTTTTGATTGGGTTGGAAATGAAAATTTAACCTTATTCCAATAAAAGAGACATATATTTCCAGCATGGGAAAAGTCAGGAGATAATTTTCCTACTGCTGTGGCTGTTACTTAAAAAAGAAAAAAGAAAGAAAAAGAATTAAAAAGAAACAGTAATTAACCTGCGTAGTAGGCAGGTACACTTCACCACAGCCTGGACCTCCTGATTATCCAAACCAGGGGGGCCATCAGTGCACATGAGGCTCCCTTACTATCCTCATGCCCCTGTTTTCTTCTGAGAGAAACTGGAGCATACAGGGTAGTTGCTGGATCTGATGATCCAAACCTGTGGCCATGCTACCACCAGGATCCAGCCGTGAGGGCTGCAGTTCCCCAGCATTGTGCAATCAGACGGTGCAAACTCCTACAGCTCCTACCGCAGCGGAGAGGGATGGGAATGGTGGCAGTGTTTTAGAGATAATGGGTGGGTGGTGCTTAGCTAACAACGACCTTTTACGTCTAATAGTTGATCTTATCTTACAGTTGGTGACATTTAGAAAAAAAGAAAGTGAAATTTGGAGGAGGAAAACAAGGTTGTATATGAAATACATGAAGATGTAACGCCTTGGGGCAACTTTAGCCACACAAAAACTGAAGAAAGAATAGTGCAAAATTGTGCAAAAATGGTTGCATTTTACAGTCAGAGTATATGACATGAAAGAACTGAATACTTTTAAAAACTCAATATTCGCACAACGGAACTGCCATTTTACTTTTGAGGCAGAAAGCAAAGGAGCACTTCAGAAACTGCCCTATATGGAATTGCAATTTAAGAAACAAATGCAAAACTGAAATGCCAGCATGGCTTCTGTCAGACAAGCAGTATGTTTCCTTTTGTCCTCTGTGCTGCAGTTACTGAAACACTAACATGCAATACACTGTTATAATCCATTTCCTAAACAAAATTAAGTCAGATATAAGGTCAAAAGTAGACCTTAGCAGCAGAATGAAGAGCAATTTGGAGCAGAGTTAATGGATTAATATGAGGTATCTGAACTTTGTCCAGCAAGAAAGACAATTTAGTTTCAGTTTCTGGATGTTACTTTGCTAGGCAGCTAGCAAATTCTCAGAAAATGTGTAAATAAAACTTTTTAGGCCAAATATTTATATTAAGACATTCAGATTTAATGAAAGGATCAATTAACTTTCCCAATTTCAAATCTAAAACATCCTGAAACAGTAAGGGTCAAATAATATTTCTGTGCCATCTGACCCGACAGAAAACATTTGACGGGAAGTAGCTTTGTATACAACTGAGAAAAAAGATACAAGGTAATGATCTGATGATGTTTTTTCACATTATATTTCTGAAATTATTTACCTTTAAGTTTCTTTTCTTGACATAGCAATTCTCAGTCTTCACCTTACATCACTAGATTATTACTATTGCATTAGCTTTTAAAAAAAAATACAATAAGGTTGTTCTATTCATGAAAATGTCTGATTTGTTATATACAGCACGTTGCTATGAAAAATGTATTTTAAGAACTGATGTTCTCTGGGTGTAGAAATGAAACAGACAAAATCAAAACCATAGGTTTTTTTAAACTTTCAGTGTGCTGCAGAACGACTCTTTAGAATAACTTTGTGCAATGCTGATACCATTTGCACTTCATGTTGCTTGCATGTATTCAATTTAGAAGGGCTCATTTCCATGGACTGCTTGGCAAGCTTAGTGTGGGATCTGCAGGTTGAGGTCTGTTATTCTATGAATCACCACAAGTAATTATCTATTCCCCAACTGAAATGTAATTAACAATTCCATCGATGATTTACATCCGACACTACTGTCTATCTTATTTCCCCAAAAGACAGCCACATTAGGTCTGTAATGCTAGCGGTGTGTCTACCCTGAGGTCACCAGCCGCTGTCAATACGACAGCTGTTCATATAGGCATACACACCGTGGCTGTACGTTAGCTTTGCTGGGAGCCAGTAGCAGCGTAGCCTTGGCAGCTCAGGGTTCAGCACGGCCAGTCCATCTGCTCGGGGCCTCGGCAAATACCGAAGGGCTGAGGGCAGCTCTGCGTTGCCTTTTCTGTAGTGCGTGGTGGTAGCCCAGTACACCAGGCTGTACTACCGGTCTTGGTGGGTTTAGGCCAAATCCACACAAACTACACTTTGTCTTCAATGCAGAATCATTCTAGGGAGGGCTAGGTGGGTGGAACTGAATAGATACGACTCAATATATGCACATTTCACTAGGCATAGTTATTTTTTTCTTCTCCAAAGGGTTAAGTAGTTGCTCTTTTAAAAGGAGTTGCTGAAAAAGAATAATCCTTTTATTCTGGTTTAATGTACCATTATCTATGATGATCAGGACAGCTGTTTAATCGTTGTTCTTATGTTCCCAAATGAATATCTCAATAATGATATGTACTGTCTTCTTTATCAAGAAAAAATATCAATGGCATCAATAAAAACAGTCAGTAAATATTCCAATATTTAAACATTGTAATCGCTGAGATACCCTGAGTTTATGGCTGGCTAAGTGCTCTCTCACACTTAAAGGCTGGGGAGGGCTTGAGTGGTTTGTCAATGAACACAAATACTGTAAATTAGTACAGATCAGGAAGCCAGCTGCAGCATGTGCAATCATTTTACGTAAGCGTGCGGTTCAGGCTGTGCTTCGTCGCTGTCTAAAACAGGTGTACAGTGTAACCTGCATGAGCATTTTTTCTTGTCTTTATTTCATTTTCCTGTCTTAAAATGGGCAAAAGAACTTGCTATTTCTAAGTGTAAATTCATTTATGGTAAATAGGCACTCAAACGCTATTCTGAAATGCTATTTAGACACCGCACAGTCTTTCAGAATATTTCCCTGTGTAACTTTCCTTGCAAGAGAACAGAAGCAAATGATCTGCGTACTTCATGAAAGACAGTTATTCTAAAATTATAAAAAAAGGAGACATTTGATAGCCAAACCTGGTCACTGCTCTTTTCTGCAGGACTACACAGATCTGCCACTTTACATTATGAATTATTTTCTCCAGGTAGCTGAGACCAATGTTGCTACCCTCAAGATGTCAACAAGCCACTGCTGTATTATGCAGATTATTTTCTGCCATTGTTTTCTTTCAGTCCTGTCTGTGCTGCTCGTCACATCTTTCCATACTGTCTTCTTTCCATGTCAGCCAAACAATTACCTGGTGATTATTGACAATTCATCTTGCAGTACTATTTTTCTGAAAAGATTATCAATAGTAACCCATCAGATTTCTGTATACACAGAAATATCTGTATATGAAGAGGAGAGGGAAAAATATCTTTCCACTCTTTATTATATCTGCACATAGTGCAACGCAGAGTGGCACAGACTTTGCGTTAATTTAGAGCTAACTTGTGTAACAAGAACAAATAGCCATAATATTTTGTTCAGATCTAACTTGAATACCTCTGCACAACAGTGCTTTATGTTGTATGGGCTTACTGCTGGATTACCCATCACCTGCCAGTTCCATGTTTTGAATATACTGTTAACAAGTTCATATACTATTGTAATTTTTTAGTTTCTGAGGCATTTGTACATTGTCAGTACGAATTATCTCTAGTCCTGTCCCATCCTTTCAGACTTCCCAGCCGCGCAAGTTAGCAAGATGCGAGGTTTGTTTGCACGGCTACAGTATCGCTTTGTCTTTTGGTTTGATAATCTCATCTATCTATTTACTTAGGGGGAAAAAAAAAAGTTAACATTTGTCAAGTAGAAGTTCTTTTAAATAGGCTAGACCCCAAAAGAGACACTTATTTTATAGATAGCATGAAGCACATTCTGTCTCCTGTTCAATCTTTCGTGAGCTCAGTAATCATGGGCAAGTCACTAAGTCTCTCTGCTTTTCTGTTGTGCGCTGGTGAAACAGTTGTGGTAAGAATGTTCTATGATGGTTTAGATGTCTTTGCTAAGGTTTGTGAAACCTTTGGAAGAGCTGGACGTTTTGTACAGGTGACTCTGTGGATGAAGCTGAGGAGCTAATAACTTGAATGAGATAGCAAAGCAGAGTAAAATTAATAGAAACCAAGACATAACTTGTATTTTGTATCAGTTAAAAACTTCATTACAAAAATTCAGGCAGTCTGGTGACAAAGGCAGTTTAGATAATATCAGGGACAAGCTCCATAGCTGAATTGAGGTAATATGTCACTGACAACATCTGTACCTTTGTCCCTTTCCTCTTACAGTATCGGTCAGGACGGGATCCTCAGCGAGGCTCAGACAATGTTTCCAATAAGTCTTCAGACAGTGATGTCTCTGATGTCTCCGCTGTGTCACGGACAAGCAGTGCCTCACGTTTCAGCAGCACAAGCTACATGTCCGTCCAGTCAGAGCGTCCAAGAGGAAACAAGAAAATAAGGTGAGCATGAGGAGCTGTAGTGGCGGCCATAGCCATGTAATCTAAGTAACTGAACATTTGCCAATATTTGTATTTGAAAATAATATTTTGCCTAGGATGAAATTTGCAGGGAATTTGCAAAATACTGGTTTAAATGTCTTCTTCATCTAATGCTTTTTGAAGTCTTCATGGCATTTGTTTTTAGCCAAGTTTTGTCATCTTGGGTTATACTAACATACACTACAATAACAAACACATGCTGTCAGCAAGCATTAGACACACTTAGATTTGCACTTTCTGAAAACCATTTTGTAAAATACTTCATATAGCTGAAAAGACAGTTTGACTTGAAAGTTTGTGCTGGCAATGTCACAGGCATCTTGATTTCCTTTTAAACTGGAGCTGCTGAACTTTTATAGAAGTATTATTTAATACTTACACAAACCAATTCAATTTAATACTTACACTAGTCCAATTTAACTGTAGGCGCACAACCATTGAACTACCCTTTCACAAGATGTACATAGTGTGTCTGTAAGCAAAACACAGCATTTCTTTTGCCTGCACCCTGTGCAAACTCAGAGAAGCTTTGGCTGTAGAAGGAATGAAAGATCATTTTTCTTGGAAGGTGTTACCCACCTGCATCTCTCAGCAAAATTCAATGTCAGCCTATATTAATTTTCAGAAAATTGTCCTCTTGAGAGAAACGGTGCATTTGAAAAGATTGTTTAAACATCTGCTTATATGAGCATTGTTAGGACCTCATTGTTTCTGTCATACAGTTATGTATACATTTCCAAATGTGATGCATTGCCATGCAAATTTTATTCAAAGAGGGACTTAGAGACTGTCCTAAGAAAACATCCCAAGGTTCTCTAGTGTAGACTGGAGTCTTAGCCAGCATGGTTTAACTTATGACTACTTCCATCTTTTAGTTTTTATTTCATTTCTTTTGCATTTCCTTTCTTCTGAGTTCATGCATGCTCTTCTCCATGACCTTAACTTTAATTTATTCTTTTCTTTTTTTTTTTTTGCATGCCTTTTTCAATTTTTGTTGACTTCAGAAGGACAAGGGATATAGAGGGGAAAAAAGAGGGAGGGCTGGAAGGGGATGAACAAGATGAAGTATTTCCTGAGGAGGAAGAAAAAGAGGAGGAGGAAGAAAAAACAAAGGAGCAAGAAGTTAATGAAAAAGGGGAAGGGCAAGAGGTAACAGAGAACTGTAATAAGGAGGAAATCAAAGGATCAGGGCATGATGAAAAAACTCAAGAAGACCAAGCTGAAAGAGGATGACAGGTAAAATATACTTCCATTTCTATAGACCTATTCTTCTTCCTCCTGTACCAGGACCCTACTCGTCTTCCCTATTTTTTCCCTTTGCATAGCTTATTGTCTGTGTTCTCCGCAGATTGTTTTTTGCTTTCAATCATGAAGCTTTCATATTTAAGCAAGTTTCACTCTCAGTTTCAGTGAACTTCTCCTGCATACCAAGTGATGCAGCACATTAACTTGACTCATTATTATGCATGCAACTACAGCATACTATTTTTTAAATTGGTTTAGAACAGAGTTTGGATTTGATTATAATAAACAATAGAAATTCTAAGGTTCCTTGTTACATTCCCTGCTTGAATTATTATTTCAGGGAAAAATCTTTTTTTGAATGATATCTCATCAATATCAAAACCGTCTTTACTTTCATTTGTGGCAGTACTAAAGAGAATTTGGATTTCTTTTTGGTTTAGTTCTCTTTGTGTAGGCTGATAAATGTGCATATTGATCAACAATTGACATGGATAGGCAGTCTTCTCTTTTTTTTTTTTTTGTTGCATGTGAATAACTGTCATAGGTTGCTGTATTATGGAGGGCTTATGTACCTCTGCTGCTGTATTGTGTCCAGAAACATTTCAGCACTATTGGCTCTGGTTTTATCAGATAATACTCTAGATTTATACATTTTACCACAATTCCTTTGAACCATGACTTTTAATGTAAATGAGTGAGATTTTGAATTGCAAAATCCATGTGATTTGCATAAAGAGAAATACAGTATTCCTTCTTTCTTCATTAGCAAAAAATGATCTTGAGATTTGCTGAATATTCTCGAACCCCTTCGCACCTACACAAGAATGGAAGAAAATCTCAGAACAACTTTCTTTTAACCAGCTAATTCTGCATTACCTATAGATAACTTATGCCTGTAAAACTGTGCTCATATATATTAGGGTAAGCACAGAGCATGCTATGGCAATCCACTTTCTTCCTTTGCTGCAAACTTACATGTGTACATGCCTGTACACACACACACACACACACGTGAACATGCATAAAGCAAAACTGATAAAAAAAGAGAATCAAAATGCCTACTGTTCAGTCTGAGGTGGTATGAATATTGCCATATTACTGCTTTTATACATTAAGTACCATCATTCCTTCACTCATGTGACTGCATTTTAGAATTCAGCAAAAGCAGTTGTTTAGAAACAGCTGTCTTTAAGACTGCCTTGGTATACATGTTCCAGGGACTGCTAAATGGTAGTGTGGGAAAGGATGTTTTAAAGACATTTTTCTCTCCTGGCTCCTGCTAAGTTCCCCATTTAATGGATCTGGAAGTAAAGCACGACCCTGTTCCTGGCTTCCAGCTTTCACTCAGGTTAAGCTTCAGACAAAATGCTGTCCCTCACAGAAAGTAAAGTCCTCTCTGAGAAACAACTTCTTGTTCCCCATGCCAGCTTGTTCCTCTGCTTGTTAGCTGCTCTCTGCCTTCAGGAAGAAGTAGCACAAGTAAGGTTGTGCAGTGACTTTTGTTTCTGCTAGATTTTGGCTCCCAACATGGAAATCAGCCTCTAGTATTATTTGCCCACTTTGCCTTTTTTGACCACTTTTAAGTAAGTTGTGAATAAAAAAGAAAGTTTCTCTACATCCACCTTCCTTTCCTATGGTAAAATAAGTGCTCATCTTTTTAGTATTGTCTGAACATTCTTCTAGGATAAGAAGCAAACTGAAAAGCACAGATTGATTCCTGTATAGGTACAGGTATTTGTATCTATATACATTTATGTACACACATAGTTGTGTATCATTAACATACTGAAATATCATGACTTGTGTATTCAGTGGACAAACCTGAAGGGAGGATCAATCCTAAGCATTGTTGTAAATTCAGTGCCTTCTGCTTGCTTGTTTGGCAATTTATAAGATACCTTATACCTGGCAATTTATAAGTTACTTATAAGATAAGTTAATAATTTCAGCTTTCAAAAAAATGTTTTCAGACACTCCACCAATATTAAACAATCACCAAAGCAACACTTAATAATTAGACATATCAATAGGTATTTGAGAGACCCAACAGAACCAAAGCTGCCAGTTCATCCATCACAGAATAGCAGTAAATTTTCATCTAGTTCTTGAGATCTTGGGCATCAAGAAAAGCTATATTGCAGATGGGAATTTTCAATGTATTTTTTTACTTCAGAGGTCCATCTTTAGTTGAACAGCAGTCACCTTTCCTCTGGACAATCTGGAACACAGAGGCTGCTCTCAATCATTCCACCATCAAAAATTAGCTTGTTAAGGATACATCATACCTCTTGATGCCACCAAGCTTATATACTTTATGAGTAACGATAATAGTCACACTAAGGGCTTCAGTCTGCTGAGATCATAGGTAGGTTCAATGTAACTTAAATGACCATGAAGATGAATATCTATCATGAATTCATCCCATGTGTATTTTAAAGAGTCCTTCAGTGCAATAAACTGCATTAGCTTTTGGAGTGCTGAAGCACAATAGATCAATAAATCTTTTTTGGCAGAAATAGCTGCAGCATCAGATTTTGCCTTCATTAAACCTTGTAAAACTAAACCTTGGCGTATGGTTGACCTATAGGGAAAACATAATTGTGTTCTTTCTTGGCAATACGTGTTAGTAAACAGAAAGCATCGATCAAGCTTCCCTGTTGTAACTTTTAAGGATTCCTTATGTACAGTTCACTAACATTATTTCTTATTCCAGCTCCCTGATGATATCAGGGACAAAAAAAGCCCTCTTAGATCTAATGTGTGAGCATTCATTATTTTTATTGATTATTTTTGTTGCAGGAATTCTGTTTAAGACTGCTCTAAATCTTAACCTTCCTTAACACTTTTCTAAATATCAATCCTAAGCAGTAATTCTGATAGTCACAATAATTTAGTTTTGTCACATGAATACAGAGCAATTGCAGTCACAGAGCAGGATTTCACTGTGCTACATGCTGTTGAAATACAGAAGAAAAATACAACTTCTGTTCCAAGCACAGAGAGTCTAAATCATGACATGACATGTAAGTCCAGAGAGGGAAACACAGGAGAAATAAGAAGTGTTCCACGTAACAGGAGATAGTTACAATACTGGGTTGGGGACATCTTGACAACAGAGAGTACTAAGGGGAGATTTGAAGAAAGAAAATAAGATAGCTTTGTGAATGTTTCTGGAGAGCTCTTTTCAAGCATTAGAGGCAATGATGAAAAAACACAAGGTGCTTACTAAAAAGATATCAAGTGGATGATGGGGCAAGTCTGATGAGCAGCAGGAGCTGATCTTTCAGTTTTGAATGTGAGAAGATAAATGTGATAAGGAACAACTGGTAAAATACTGGAAAATAAAGATGAATTATGTACAACTGGATAAAAGACAGTATAGCTTTTTACTAATGTATGGAGAAAGATGACCGAGTCAAATTGAAAGGCTATGAAACTTATCTTTCTTACAATATCCTGCAAGGAGTTAGGGTAGGCAAATTTCCAGGGCTGGAGAAAAGCACTGCAGTAGCTGGCATCTGAAATGCTGAGAGAGCGGACAAAAGAATTTGCTGTGTGGGTGGACAGAGAGGGTACAGATGCGAAATAGAAAGCATGCATGTGACAAACAAGTGGACCTAATATGAAGCCTGAATTAAAAGGCCTGCCCAAATAGCAGGTCTGAATGATGTGCATGATCTGCATGGCTGGGAGAAGAAGCAGAAGAGAGGTCTTGG